ATTTTATTTGCCATTCTATATAACGAATGCAGAGAAATCTAAAATATGGAGATGAACGACAGGATGGGGAGAGGAGTTTATGGTAAATACATCTGCATGGCTTAAAAAAAAGAGACCAAATTTACGACAACCGTTTACCCCTTTCACCTTCACCTCTATTAGCTCCTCTACTTGCAGCCACCCTGCCCCTTTCAGCAAGCTGCCTAGATAGATACAAGCCAATTTGTAACCCTGTCTGTGGCCACCTTTTGGCTGGTTTACGACAGCAAGGAAGTATCTTCTACCAGAATGGGGACTTAATGAGAAAAAGGGAAGTGACTCATATGCAAGCTGGGCCCTGGAGGTGAATGAAGGGAGGGGTGGGGTGGGGGGAGTGGCATTAGAATGCATTTCAAGAGAGGACTTAGCTGGCTGCAGGGTATTTTCTAATAATATCACAACATAAAAATCTGTTAATTTCCTAGTTTGATTTTATTTTAAATAGGATTCTATGTTAACTTGAAAATATTTTGCTGGCATAAGTATGTATCAAAATAATCATCATCTCTCACCTTACTTTCAAGGAAAAATGTTTTTAAAAGCTATGAGTCCATTTTTATCCTCTGGTTGACTGAGACCACTGTCCTCTGCCTCTGGCAACTATAATGTTAAATTTCTCATCGGTATTAAAAAATAAAATGCAGGGCGTGTGTATGGAATAGCGAAGGCTGATTTAAAAGCACATAAACCATCAAACTCGTCAATGCCATTGTAAGGGGCCCGGATACCAGAACCTCACTCTCAAAATGATCTTTGACACAATGGCTGAGGTAGGTTAGAGAAAGGATCTTTTGCCTGCCTGTGAGGTTTGCAATACGTATGTCCCGTTTGGTATGTGGGGCATCACAGCCTCGCTCTAAATGTGTGCTCCAATTGTAGCAAGTCAATATGTTATAATCCACATATTAACCCCTACAGAAATTGTATTTGAGATTTACTTTTCTATTTCTGTCCCAGAAAAACTTTTGCTGTCCTTAAGAAGTGATGCTTCCATAGTTTTAATGTTTGGCTGTACTTCCCTTTTTGCTTTGGTTACTAGGAACTGCCTAGCTAAATCTGAAGCTTTATCAGACCATTTAGAACAGTTCCTATAAGCCTCTGTTGTGTTCTCTTCTGTGGCAAAAGATTACCTACCTACCGTTAACTTTTCCCCTTATTCCCTGGTTCTGTTTTGCCATTATTTTTTTATTGTATATGTTTATGTAAGCTATTTCCTTTGTAAAAAAAAGGAGGGTATAAGCCAACAAATAAATATTTTTCTAAACTTTAAATCCTATATCAAACTAGAAATGTTTTTTATCATATAAAGTCTCTTTTGGATTCTTAGTGATTAAGCTCTTTACATGTTAAAAGAGATGTCACAAAAGCTGGCTACATATCATTGCTACCTTTTCAGTGTTAGAGAATTCACTGTTTTCTTCATTTTCACTTCTGCCTATTCCATTATAGCTAGAGAGCAGAGTTCTGTTGAGTAGCTCTGAAGGCCATCACCGGGTAGAAGAAGTCATTTAATCTCCATGTAAACTGAACTCTGCATCAACACTTAGGGATCTTCCTTTAAGATAAGGCCTCAGGGTGAGTCACTGGAAATCATTTCTACCAAGGGAAGCAAGTCAACAGTGTCTTTCTACAACCTGAAACCGCATCTTGGATGTTAAGTTAAATATCTGTCTGGCAAAGTCAAAAGGACTGCTGAGGAGGTTCAGACATCATCATAGATCACTTCATTCCTGTCATCATGACAACATGAAAACACTTTACAGAGAATAACTGGTGCACACACACCCACACACACGCTGGACACCAGGAGCTGTTACATTCTGGCTGTCTCTATATTCATGCTACACAACAGAGCTCAGCAGAAGTTTATCTACTTAGTTTTCTCACGAGCCAAAAAAGAATCCTAATTCTTTCTTGAACATAAGCCGTTTTAAAGCCACCATATTTATTTACATGTTGAAAGAAAATAAAACTGAGGAAGGAATATCTTGAGTTACAAATGCAGGCACAACTCTGCTCTAACAAACTATCATGCTCACAATATTCCTCAATAATCTCATTGGTCTTTTTTTTTTTGTCGATAAGTCTTTAATGATACAGTTACATGCAGTCTTTATTTAATGAAACTATTTTAAAAGGAAATGAGGGACCATAACTTTATAGATTCCTTACCACTGTCTAGAATTTGATGGACTGATCACTAAAGCAAAGTTATAAGACACAAGCAGAGCATTTGGTTTGCATTTAATTAAGGGTGTATATGTGTATGTGTGTGTGTGTGTGTGTGTGTGTGTGTGTGTGTGTAAAAGATTAAGTATTAACTTAATAACTTTGAGTACATTTTACATTGTATGTCACCCATGACCACTCTGCATCCCTATAACTAAACGGGGTGCTGAGGAAACGTGGAAGGGTGATGTCTCAGGAATCTCAACTATCTGACTAGGACTTAGAAGACTAACTGCGTTGGAAATCCCTTCCCAAAATATTATCACAGATTATTTATCCTCTCATTCTTTGGGCACTTAAAAACATACCATGCTCTTATCAGATTATTTTTATGTTAACCCAGAACTATTCTTAAACTTTAGTTCTGAACGCTAAATACATACATTGGTATATGCAAAAAACACTTCCAGTGACTTACCCTTTACCATTTCACTTGCATAATGCCTCCAAAGGAAGATCTCTGTCTTGTATCTCAGAGCCTCCACCTGAATATTTGACTATTTCTGGCAACACTGAACACATCCACCCAGTGGGCAACAGCACACTGCAGCCAGCGTCTGCCCACGGGGAAGTCAAAATGCTGACTATTGCTAGGCACTTTAAAACCCATCACACATAAAAGAAGGGAATGACTGCACAGAAGTTGCCAGCTAAGTACCATGTCTATACACAGCTGCTTTATTCTGCGGAAACCTCGATGATATGTCTCAGATTTTAGGAAAAGACTGATTTAATGTTACAGTAGAGAAGCAGTGAAATAAACTGCTTTTAAGGAGAAATCAGCACAGGGTTAAAGCCAAATTTTTCTTGAACAGATGATATTTCAGATGGCCACACTATTCCAGATGCATCAATTTCCTTGAAAATCCAATCCATATATGTGCATATGCTGTGCTGGCAGGAGGACTGACTGAAATGGCCAAAACCCAAGAGCTAATATTCTTTTGGCCAGAATAATGCAATTATTATTTTCCTAGCTATCAGTCTAAGCATACAGAGCCATCTGTTATGCAAAGCAAACATACACATCTCAATTACAGAAAATGCAGTTGCCTTGACAGAATTTGGATTACACCACTAACCAGGGCTGTAAAATGTGTTTTGAGCTAGTATATAATGGATGCTTTTCAGGAGTCCCCTAATTAGCATTTACCTGCTTAAACTAATTATTCATCCTTCTTCACTGGCTGATTAAACTTTGTTGGATACTCTGCATAAAACAGATGAATATAGCACTGCAGAACAACAAACAGCGGTGTTTCCGGTTCTGTACAGTATTAACATGGTGGCACACTAATTTCAAAATTGGAGATTCCCAATACTATGTCCCAAACAGATTAAGATAAGGCTTAAAGTCTATTAAAGGCAATTACAAAACCAGAGATTTCAATGAGATACTTCAGCAAGAATACTAATATTGAGTTAACAGTAGCACAGTTTCTGTCATTTGGTTTCCTGAAGTCCACATAAAATAGAATTACTCTATACACTAGCAAATTGCTCACATGCTCTTCAAGGAAAAGTTAATGGACCCCTCACTTGGATTCTCAACAGTAAATAATCAAATTTGGCAGTGTTTCTTCTCCTCCCCCAACCCTCCTCAAATGCCAAATATCTCTCTTTATTATTTTCCCATGTCTGTCTTGATTTCCAGAAAACTCACTAATAGCCAAAAGGTTCCAGCCGTGCTGGAGGCCCCCCTTAGAACAGTGCCAACTTTCAGAAGCAAGGAGGGTGGAGTGGGTCCTGCTTAAGAGGAGAGAGACAAATCTTATCTCCATCTTTAGCTCCAAGGGGCAACTAAATGAGGACTAGATTATCCATCTGGCAGATCATCACACAGACAAAAAAAAATCCCTCCCATGGAGACTGCATTTTCCTTGTGCCAAACCACCAGATGAAAAGGGTCAATCTCAGCCAATCACCTGTATAGGCACAAATATCCAGATGTTCAGCACTTTTATGGAGAAAACATCTGGATAATTAGCTGGTTTGTAAACTTTTCTTCAGGGTATATTGGCATTCTGTAGACATAGCCTGTGTCTTGGGATCTAACGGAAGTAAAAGTTTCGTGTTCCAGAGGAATATTGAGAACTAACATCTAGGATTTTGTCCCGTGCCCCATTTGCTTCCACCTTCTTTTCTTTTAACCGCTGACAGATTCACGTGAGTAATTAAACTGCAAATAATGAAAAGCTACCTTAGTTTACGAGTTGTCTTTCAGCATTAGGAAGCATTTGCAAAAGCAGCAAAATATATCCTTGTTGGAACCCTCCCTGCAACACATTTTAATGGTCTCTTTCAGCATTTCTTGACTCCAGATGACTCCCTGTCATTGTGTCAGCTCCCAGGATAATGCAGGGTACTCCATAAACATCCAGTAATAGGACACAAGGGAAGCGCTATTACTGTGTCCCTCTCCTATCAGGCACAGAGGTTCCAAAGTTCAAAACAACTGAGGGAAGAAACTTCATTTGTTCTCAATAAATTAATAATGATCCTGGGGTCAGGGGGAGGGGCGGGCAAGGAGGGAGACTCAAGTTTTTGAGCACGAGTTTATTCTGAACGTTCCAAACTGACATACAATTTTCCCACTGACTTTGTGAGAAGAGACAGGAAGAACCATTCAAGAATAAATTTGATAATTCATGCTAAGCAGAATAGGAAGGAAAAAGCAGGAGGCTCAAGGAGGCTTCACAATCACAGCCAAGAATCTAAATAGTTTTACTTACTTGTGAGAGGCCAAGGTAGATGGAGACGGTTTCGGAAATGTATAAAAATTTTCCTTCTTGATTTAGTGCAAATACAAAGCCATCCAGGGACTGCAGAAAAAATACATACATAAACAGGTTAGTAAATACGTATGAAGGAGATTTAATTAGTAAGGCACCTGATACAAAGCAACACATATCGAATAGAAGATCATTTTTTTCTTTCATGTTTAAAATGGTCCTAAGACCTTTTAGTATTGCATTATACACGAACAAATTAAAGGTCTCAATTAAGATTACAAGCTTTCCTTTATTTCAGCGACTTCCTTATGTCCCTGTCCTTTTGATCAAGATATATTATGTTCATGTATAAAATCAAGTCATGCTGATTTTATGAGATGTTGCCTTTATTTTTTTGGATTCAGTAGGTACTGAGATTGAAGCAGCAAGATTCTCTATTTAATAGCTGCACTGGAATGGAAATTGTAATGAAACGAGAGAAAAAAGGGTTCTTACAGGAAGAGCAAGTAAAATCACCACTTGAGCTACTATGGACATCGATAATTTACTAATTAATAAAGGATTATGCCCTCCTCACTCTCAGTGCTTACTGTGTTAGAACAAATAGGAAAAGCCCATATATTACGGGTGAAATATATTGGTGTTTGTAGGCTGAAACCTTACAAACTGTAATCTTTTTCTGCAAAGACTCTGTATTAAAGTTTTATTGTAATAGAGCTTTCTATTATGACTCCTAAAACAGAAACAAAAGAAGAAATGATAAAGGAAAAAAGAATGCTACACATCATCTGTGACTCCTGAAATCTTACTTCGCTTTGCAAAAGGAGGGGCTGCTTTTTCAGTTTTGATGAGTGGTGTAAATCATCATGGATTCCAACTGCTATAAAACACTCAAAATGAGAATAAATGTGTTTCAAATTCTTGCAATCCAAGTGCATGTTGTATCTTTCATCATCCTCATGTCTTTTGTTTTGCTTTATTTATTTATTTTTAAGCAGGTAGATTGCACAGGTACCGTTTGCATGGAAAACGAAGTTTTAAAGATTAGTATCGATAGAGGTGGTGAATTTGGATGTATGAGAAACACAATGGGAACAAGGTCTGTGGCAACACTAAATTAATGACATAACTTTAAAACATTGAAACGTGGAAGAAGCATGTAAAATTCAATTAGAAAAATGCACTGCCTCAACTCACAACAGTAATTTCAGTCTCTTAAAATACTGAACTTGTTTTTGGAGCTATATATGAATATATAAAAATATATATATATTTATGTATGTGTATCTATACATATGGTAATATGTGTATATATATTTATATGTATATATGAAATTCAGATTCCACCCTTCCTGATCCTTTTTCATAGACCTAGTGGTCAGAAACTGTGGGTAGCACTCAACCTCTTCCTCTGATTTAGTGGGTTCTAAAAACAATTCAAAAGTCACATCGTATCGCTCCACATAAAAGCAAATTACATGAAAAACAAGAGTTTGGTTAAGATAGCACAATAATAATAGCTTACATTTATTAAGCAATATGTGTGTGCTAAGCAGTTTGCGTTCATTGTCTCTTTTCATTTTCTCAACTACCATCTGAGGTAATTATATTATTATCTACATTTTACATACAAGGAAATTCAGGCTTAGTAAAGGTAGGCAACATGCCTGTCTCTGGTAAGTGGAAGAGTTAGGATTCAAAATCATAGTCAGATTCAATAACTCTACTACCTTCCACTAAAAATAAAGATTCTCTAACTGGTATGTGTACATTAATGAAAAAATAAACAGTACAGCATTTCTTAAGTCAAAATATTTATCTTAAGAGTCAGACTATAACTTCTTAAAACACATTACTTGTTTTTGAATGATTTGTTCAAATGATAGAATCCTCTCATTAGGAGTTGGAGGCAAATGGGAAATGGGCTGACAAGAGAATTTATAAGTCACTTCCATATAGGTCACCTCATCACTTTTGCTCTATAATATCTCTCGTAGAACCAGCTATGGGATAGGGAGCAAAATATTATCTAAGGGAACTGGGTTCCTTAGCTTTGACAGAACTGCCACCCTCACCAGTGAGATCCAACCTTTCAAGCTCACAGTGTGGTACAGTGGAAACTTATTTTGAACCAGTGCAGAAGGGAGAGAAGTTGCCTTTGTAGAAGTTTGAAAAGGATTTCATTTCAACATGCCTTCAACTCAAACAAGATGTCTCTTGTGGATGACTCATGAAAATTAAGACTTTCCTGGCTTTGACTTTTTCTTCTTCCTCATGGAGAAAAGGCCTCGGTCAGGTTTTCCATTCAACCTACTAGCCATGGTTGGTTATACAATAACAGAGATTTGTGTAAGCCATCTTCTCAAACCTTAAAATGCCACTGTCAGATTAGAAGGACACACAGAGAGAGATCACAAGAGAACTTTAATGGGGACAAGTGACAATGTGAAGTCTGATTGGGAGCAGAAGAAAGGACTGATGGAGATGGCATAGAGATAATCTGGAGTCTAAACCCTCGTTTTATAGGTGAGGAAACTGAGGCACAGAGAGGCTAAGTGGCTGGACAAGATCATACAGCCAGCTAGTGCAGAACCAGGATTAAATCTGCTGTACTCCAATATTATTTAAGAATTTATGACATTATATGGTCCCGGTTGGCTTATTCAACTCCCAAGGAGACTGAATTTCTCAACAGTGGGGCAATGTCTTATTGAACTTTATCTAGCCAGCACCTAACAACTGCTCAGACAAGGCTTAGTAAATCCAGTTCTGCCTCCTACTAATGCTCT